TAAAAAATTTTTTTTCTTTACAACTTGAAAGTATTCTTCAAACCGTACAACTTTTGTTTAAAACATTTTTTTTTTATCTTTTATATTTTCGACGATATTTTGCCACAAAAAAGAAAATTTTTTTCAAAAAGGTGTTTTACCCCCTAAAGACACTCCTCTCTGAGATTCCGCACATATATAAAAATACATGTCTCTTAGATTTTTGTGTTTAAAAACATATTTTATGAAGAATTAAATCGGTGCCGGACAGTTGCGTCATGTCCCTTGTTAGTTATGTTAATATCATTACCTCCACTAGTAAGAAGACCAGTACCGAGCCAAGGTTTTATAGCATCATAAATCATTCCCTTTTCGATGTGTTGCGAGCTGCCTAGTATTGTCTTAAATTACAGAAAGTATTGAGTTAAACATTTTTATTTCAGACTCAACGCAAATAATCATTTAATTGATTTAGAAATTATTTTAAATATTTAATTTTCTCTAACTTGTTTATGACTACATAACAATGTAATAAAATCTTTGAGAATGCATCAAACAAAATAAAAAATAAAGCTAGTAACAGTTAACGCAGATGTCAGCATAATATTTTAATGTTTATTAATCAAATATTATACATATAAGTAACGCAAATGTCTGAATCACAATTTCAGTCCTTCTCAGTGCAATTAGAATACAAAAAAAAAATAAAATATATGTAATAAATCTGTTTTTATTACTGTTGCGTTTATCGTTTATTCCACACACCCTACTTCTTATTTTAATTTATGTTGACAACAAACCTGTTTAGAAATAAAATTTATGTTCAGTGTATTAATATATTGTGTGCAGAACACGATGAAAATAAGAAGCAAAATATGTGAAACAAACATACGTTATATGCAACGGTAAAAAAAAATTTATTAAGAAGCTTTTGCGCTTACCTTTTTCTTTATATTCTAAATGTACAGAGCAGGACTCAAATTATCATCGGAACCCAGCAAACAAATTATAACTGCAATATTGCAGCAACATTACAACATTTTTGCAATACAGCTAGAATATTGCAGTTACAATCTATGTTTCCTGGAAACATTTGCGGTATTTATATATTATTCTGCTAATAAGTGTTACACACCAATATCAACGGTAGTTTCTATTAGCTTTATGCATCATTTCCTTTGATTATTTATAAGTAAACATATATTCCAAAATAAAAGAATTATCTTAATTCCAATAATTACATTATTATCTAATATTTCAATAAAAAGAGAATGAAATTTTTTTCATATTTCATTACCTCTAGATCATCCGGATGATTGATGAATACAGAGGGCCGAAAGAAGAACCAAATTTTAAAAATGGAATACTGTTTATTAAAAGTAGACACTATTTTCCATAGTTCTTCTAAAAAAGGTATGTATATGTATATTTCCTAAATTTATCGAAATATTATAAATATTAGTTGAAAAAAATTGATTGTCATTATATATATTTATTATTATATATATTTATCATTTATCATTATAAATATAATATATTTTATCATTTTTCATATAACTCAGTAATTTGGACAATAAATAATATTATTACGTAGAAGAGAACTCAAGAGTTTAAATAATTTTTAAAATCATATTGCTGTAATGTTAATAATTATATTTCAAAAAAAAATATTTTTACACATATTTAGTGCAAAGACAAATTTATGTTAATGTACAAAAAAGTTTAACTTGCCTTGTGAACCAAGAAATTGCAAAACATTTCCAAGAATCGGAAAACCTGATGGACCTGGTATAAGGTCGATGAGTCGCCCGTTTCTTCCATAATGTGCATAATAATTCCACACCAATATAATGAGGATAAATAACAGCAATACAGTAACCAACATCGTTTGTTGCCCAAATGATTAACCAGTTTAATTTTGTTTTTTTTTATTCTTTTGCTCCGCTTTAGTGTTTAAAACTCACGAATCACTGAACATATATACGTGTATATACATAGATTCCTTGATATAAAACAAAATTTTTTATATTCTAAATAATTTAAATGTATTTAATAAGTAAAAGAAACACATTAGAATACAATATTTTAATTATATTATTACAAATTTTGTTACTATAAATAAATAATTACCAAAAAGACTTACAATATAAAACAATGTTCTTCTATTGAATGCTTGTGAATGACTCGTTCGCTTTTATAATTGTCTGTTTGCTTAATTGAATAACTCCAATAATAACGTTTGATTATACGTTTTTTTTTTATCAAGAGCCACGG